TTTATAGCATGTTTATAAATATTTGTACGATATTATATATTCAGCATATTTTACTTAACCAGTTCCATGTCTTAATTAACCCCTTGGCATTCCTGTAAAATGTACCTAAAACGCCTAAAAAAGTCATACCCAAAGTAAATTGCATGCTGTTCTTGAGCCATTTGGAGTATATGCATGATTTTGGACTCTTTTGAAAGGTGACACTTCCTAAACAGAACAAATCTCAGAATCACTGCAAGTCTTACTGGTATTGAGTAATAGAACTTTGAACACACTGAAAAGGGAAAAAAAAACATTCGCCTACATTTGTTTTGTAAACAGATGCTTGCAGATGACTATAGCTGGGAGCCGTTAGCTGGAAAACACAATGGGATCACAGCATGAAGCCTTGTTGGCGGTCTGACAAAGACACTGATTGTACCTGCTGTAATGATTGTATCTTAAAGTGGTTTGCATCATTCGTATCACAAGAATCTCAGCTTTCCAAAGATATGTGACATGTTTAGCTTTGTTTCTTTTTTTTGTTGTATGTCACAAAGTTATCCCTCAAAAACACGCAGTGTACAGCGGGTGGCACAGTGAAATGCTAACAGGTTATTTAATCCATAAATGAGTCATTAAAACAAGTTTTTTATGACAGCGACATCCATTTAATCTTGATCAGCAACAACTAATGATCAACGAATTGGAGCGTAACCTACTGCATGATGGAGACGCTCGCACGAACACTTACATTTTTTCCTCATCTATCTTATCTTATCTATCTGTCTATCTATCTATCTATCTATCTATCTATCTATCTATCATCTATCTATCGTTCTATCATTTCTTTAATTTTCTATCTATCTATCTATCTATCTATCTATCTATCTATCTATCTATTATCTATCGTTCTGTCGTTCTATCTATCTATCTGTCTGTCTGTCTCGTTCTACCTATCATTCTATCTAGTCATATTTGACTAAATCTTATGCATGAGTCTTATGACTCTTTCTTTTTTAACATCAAGCCAATTAGATTCATGATGGTGGAAGATCATTTTGTAACCTTTTCACATTTGTTTATTAATATATGGGGCAGATGATGTGGGCAGCTCTTTAAAACACAGCCTGAGGCCTGTGGGCACATCGAGCTGATGTTCTGAACCAGGGGCGCTAGCAATTTTGGGCCCTCTGAAAGAATATGAGGTTGGGCCCCCTACCGCACCAAACATACACTATATTGCCCAAAGTATTGGGAAAACTCAATAAAACAAAAACAAAAAAACTAATCGCCAAACACCAATACCAGTACATATGTGTACAATCATTTTAGACACTTCCAAATCTGTGGCAACAAAGATGGAAATACAATTTTTAAATACATGAATTATGTTTCCATCTTTGATGCCACAGTTCTGGAAGTGCATTTTTCTGTCCTAAAGAAGGGGGTGTCCCAATACATTTGTCCATATGTATGTACAAGTCACAGGTGTTTGGTGATGAGTTTTTGGCTCAAGGTCTGCATTTAAAGTCACACCAGAGGTGTTCAGCTGGGATTAGGACTTGGCTTTCTGTAGACCAGTCAAGTTCTTCCACACTGACTGAATCAATCTTTTTTTTTAACCTTGCCTTATACACAGAGGCATTGTTGTGTTAGAATAGAAAATGGTCCTGTTCAAACTATTGGTATAAAATTAGAAGCACACAATTCTTTGGCAATATAGTGTACAAGCCAGCCTAGCTATTCAAAATCTCTGTCAATTCAAATCAATTTAATAATATTGACCTATTACTTTTGCTATTGCTTTTGACCATTAGGTATCAGTAACATAATTCATTCAGAACCTGTTTTATGGACATAGACTTTCTGTACCACACTATTCTGCTGATATGGAATGAGTTTGACTACTTAATCAGTTATATTAATAGAAATGCTTCACTGATGCAAACAAAAAAATTGTAAAATAATAAATAGGATACCCCATAGCAGCATTTCCAGCAGTATCCAACATTTCTCAATCATGATCTTACTCAGCTAAATGTGACTTAGCTTAACAGCTGTATTCCTTGTTTGCTAGCTACCTATGCACGTACAGCATACAATGTTAAAGGGGGTCATATGATGCGATTTCAATTTTTCCTTACACCAAATACACAAAATAATGTTCTTTTTAGCAACATCATATGACCCCTTTAACATAAATAAATATAATTAATTTTAAAAAATAAATATTTTTTTGAATGCTAGTGTAATAAAATGTAATATTTGAGCATCTTTTAAAGTAGTGCATTTTTACTTATACCAACGTTCAATCAATAGTATTTATTTATTTATGTAAAACAAATATTCAATAAATCTTTGTTATTTTATATTTTTAAATAAATAAATCTATTTTTAACAATCATCTATTTTTGAACACTGGTGTAAATAAATAAATCAAAATAAATAAATATATATATATACATTTAAAAATAAAAGGACAATTTATATTATTGCTTTATTATTTTATTTATTAATTTTTAGTGTGGCAAAATAGAAGCGCAGCCGTAATTCGTATCTGGTTGCCATGACAACCTCACGCGCTTCTTGCTGCTGCTCTATGTAATCAGAGTGTGAATTTGTAGATTTTCTATAGCAAAAATGAAATGTGTTTAAAAGTGTGACTGACCAAATCGCCCGGCTCGGTTTGCCCCCCCTCGAACTCGAAGACATCTCTAATTTGACAGTTTACCATCTGATCTCACTCGTGACTCTAGGCTACATAGGATGGGACGAAACCATGCAGTGAATGGGGGGAGATAATTTTGCTGGAAATGCAGAAATAAGCCGTAATTTTGTTTTATTTGTAACTCTTTGGTAGATACATTTATCATTTCTATTACATTACTACTACTACTGTTACTACTAATAAAACAGATCTCTGGGGTTCCCAAAACTGCGTGGGCCCTTAGAATCGTCCTAACTTTCCCCCCCTTAGCGGCACCCCTGTTCTGAACTCACATGTTTTTTACCCATGAGCACTTGCTCTTAGCTGCTGTAGTGTGAGAACTTTGATCGAGCACTTAGGGATGTTGCTGGCCCTGTGCTGGAGTGCTTTCTATTTTGGTGTTATCCTGATGGTTTACGCTAGCATGTGTAGACCCCGCTCCATCAGTGAAGAGCTAGCCTGGTTTCCACGGAGACACGGGAGAATTTCTGTGTGTTTGCATTTCCTGGAGTTTTGCACCATCATGCAACGGGATGGAATTATTCAGACACGTTTTATGACTCGCCACACAAAAGGTCAGTGTACAAACAAGACATAGGGACTGTGAGAATGGTAAATAGGTAGGGGACTTTTTTTTTACATTGTCTTGTTTTCTATTAAAATATGTAAACATCCATAAAATTTGATTAATTTACTTGAAAATTATTATTTCTTTGTTTGTTTGAAAACAATATGTTGCATATCCGTGTATTTTAGGGAATTGTTTTTTTTTCTTTCTTGTTTTAAAATTGTTGCTTTTCATGTAAATGTGTCTAATTTTATGGATGCATTGATATTATTACTGGAAAACAGTACAAAACTTTCTGTTTGCAGTGTTCAGTTATTTAATACAGGCTGGCTAGGAGTGAGAGAAATGAGAAACATGAGACACATGCACACATGCAAATCAAATACTTGTTATCCTGTTTTGTTTCTGCTTTGCTCAGACGTCTCCTGTCAGCTTCTCTGCCCTTTATGTGCCAAACAAGAACTCTGCATCTCGGTCCTGATGCATCGCTGCTGTTTGCGGTTGAGTTAGCAGCCCTGTCATGAGCCTTTACTACCGTCTCTCAGCTCGGCTACGCACTGACCCAGATCTGCTCCGGTGCATTAGTCAAGACAGACAGAGATCCCACTAAGAGAGAATCTAAAACGGCTCCAGGCAATATTATGGATAGAGGACTCGTATTTTAGCCAGAAGCAATGGTTTAAAGTTAAAAACGCCTTAATAATGGATTTGCTTAGTACAAACACGCAGCTCTTCACTTCTCAAGATGTTAACTGATGGACTGGAGTGGTGTGAATTACTTGTGGATTATTGTGATGTTTTTATCAGCTGTTTGGACTCTCATTCTGATGGCACCCATTCACTGCAGAGGATCCACTGGTGAGCAAGTGATGCGATGCTACATTTCTCCAAATCTGTTCCCATCTTGGATGGCCTGGGCATCAATTTTAGGTGAACAGTTCCTTTAAATTATGTGACTGGAACTGCAATTCCACATTGACCTTGAGCTGGTGATATTACCAGTTTTTGTTGGTGGTTCACATTGCTTCTGGTCAGTTTTTTTTTGCCAAATCAACCTGTGCAATGATGCTTTGGCATCACAAGGTGAATATTCACACTCGCTATGAGGGGGTCTTTTTGGAAAATTCTGCATGAATAGGCTTTTAACTTCAGAATAATCACGAAACTAATCTCAGTGGAGCGAGTTCTTCGTGTTTCATGCAAATCTAATGCCACCGGATCAGTATGTGTCACGACATTTAGTGCAAGTTTATCTTCAGCATATAAATGTTTGGGGTGTTTGTTTTTAGTTTAATAATTTTGCTAGCGAGTATGCTATTCATTAGTAAACTCTACCGCGTGTGCTAACCGACCTCTCTCTCGTACCGTATGAAAAATGGGTCTTTTGGATTTCATTGTGTATATATTTCCGTTCATGCAGGCGTTCATTGGAAGCAGCTGTAACCGCGGGTTGATATATCTGCGACCACATACGCACAGCCTCTCATGTGGCGGCTCAGAGTGAAGTCCGTCATCTTGCGTTTGTTGAAGCTGTCCTGAACATGCGCCTGAACATGTGTGGTCTCCAACCACAGCGGCGAATCTCTTCAATCGCTCTTTCAGTTCTAATTCTGTCGTATTTCTCGGTGGTTAGTCTAATTTTATCCCACAACAGCTCGTCCCCTCGTACTGCCTCAGAAAACTGCTGTGTTTGGATTCTTTTGAATAGTAATTTATAACTCTCTTGTCTTCTCTTTTTTTCAGATTTTGGAAGTCATGGTGGTAGGAGCTGATCTGTATGCAGAGTGAAATCTATCATGACTGTGATGTCATTGGCACACCGCAGGTAATGTCAGAAACAGTCATGCTGTACCTGTCAGACTCAACTCTTGGTGTTATGCAAATGCATGTGTGAAACTCATTCAGAGTGAATATGATCTCACTAAGGATGAATTTAAACATATATCAGAATTTATTTTATTTTTGAAAATGTGTTGTATTATACTGAAGCTTACTTACGGGATAATTATAAGAGTACACTTAAATAAATATTTATATAAACATCAAATATTTTGCACAAATTATTTTAAATATTATTACTGTATATATATATATATATATATATATATA